TCTACCTGTCTGTCTGTCTGTCTGTCTATCTATCTATCTATCTATCTATCTATCTATCTATCTATCTATCTTATTCTGACTTATTCTGTGTAGTTCAACTAATCCAACAATGGCTGCCTATGAACAGGAAGTCCAAGAATCCAGTAGTTGTTCAGTCCATGAGGCTGGAAGTCTCAATTTGTCTTCAGTAAATAAATGCTAACTCCTGAAGAAGTAACCTCTAATGCCAGTGAAGGAATGGACCTACTAGCAAGAGCAGGCAGGCTTGGAGTCAAGCTTCCTCCTTCCATGTCCTCATACAGGCTGCCAGCAGAAGGCATGGCTCAGAGGTGGGTTTTTCCAGCCTCAAGACTTCCTATCTTAAAGATCCGGGTCAGAAGTTGATCTTCCCTGTTCAACTTAATAAAATAATTCCTCAAATTGAACAAAAATCCCTCTGTTTGGGGTTTTCTTTAGTTAATTCTGGATGTAGTCAAGATGACAACCAAAAATAGGCACCACAGTTTTAGAGTTCTGGAAATTTCTCTGGTTCCAGGCTTTGTAGCCTCTTTTGGTTTTCATAGCTCTGCCTCCTCCCTGGAAACAAAGAGGATGTTTTCTTCTCACAGGTGGAAAAGTATGTTAAGTTCCACCTGGCTGTATTTTTGATGAGGGCAGGTAAACATGAGATCTGAGACCCTTGGAGTAGTGTAGGCAGGAGCGTGTGGAACAGCTCAGCCAGCCATAGCTCCCCCTTCAGCCTCACCCTCTGTGAGCTCAGACTTGTGTTCTTTTTCTTCAAGAAAAAGACTAGACTCTGATGCTTCTCTGTCACATTAAAAACATGGAGCTCTGGCTGGCTGAAGTGGGAGGGAAGATGAGGACAGGAGACATTACTAGCCACAGGAACTCTCTGGATGTTGGTGATGTCATGGTCTGTTACAAGTGACTACTTAAGTGACTGGATAGAATGTTTCTTGTTCCGTGCAAAGATGGGCACACATTTGTCTTCTTCCTGGAGTTAAGCTGTGATCCACTGTGCACAGTAGGTCCACAAAATGAAATCTTTTTTTTTTTTTTTAATTTTATGCTGTTCTTCATTGGCTGGTGGTTCAATGTTGACTAAATAGCCCTGTGCTCTCTCAGACCCTGGGCCTAATACTCTAGAATTGTAAGGTATGGAGGGGGAGCTGTTGGAGCACTTGAAATATATTTTTCAGTTTTATTTTCATTAGATGTATTTTTTGTATATGAGTATGCAGGTGCACCAGGCATTGGATTCCCTGGAACTGGTGTTACAGATGGTTGTGAAGCACCATGTGAGTGATGGGAACTGAACCTGGATCCTTTGCAACAGCAAAGGTGCTCTTAACCTCTAAGCCATCTCTCCAGGCCCTATTGGAGCGTTTACAGAAGGAAACCACACAGCCTGGCTCACAGCAAGATGGCTGACAAGATCTTGTCTCTAAAGCAACACAAAAACACCAGGAGAGACCCACAGGGCAGAACAATTCATGCTCACCTCACCCTTCCTCTTCCTTCTCTTCAGAGTCAGATCTGGATCTTCAGAAGAAAAGTCACTTCTGAGAATACAATGGCAGCAACACTTGGGTTGGGATGCAGAGGGAGAGATGCTACAGTAAGTTTCAGGACAGCCAGAGTGGAGGAGGCTGACCTTGTCTCAAAAAATAAAACAAAAACACCAAGTAAGACACAAAGCCAAAAACAATTCATCCTCTCCTCATCCTTCCTCTTGCTTCTCTTCAGAAGTCAGACCCTGAATTCTTCTAGAATAAAGTCACTTGCAGGAATACATCGGCAACAACACTAAGTATGGGATACAGTGAGAGATTCCAGCATTCCAACATTGCCATTGAATGAATGACCTGCTGTCTTGTCTCTTATTTCAATCTCTAGGCCTTTGCCTGATTCATGGAACAGATCTTAGTGTGGGCACTGCAGGGCTGAGAGAGGAATATAAGGTGGGAGGACATAGGCAGTCTGAGGAAGAAGTCTGAAGATGCAGTGTGAGGATGCAGTGAGGAAGCACACTGAGGATACAGTCTGAGGATGTAGTGAGGATGCAGTGTGAGGAAGCAGAGTGAGGATGCAGTGTGAGGATACAGTGTGAGGATGTAGTGAGGATGCAGTGTGAGGAAGCAGAGTGAGGATGCAGCCTGAGGTTGCAGTGAGGATGTAGTGTGAGAGTGTGCAGTGAGGAAGCACACTGAGGATACAGTGTGAGGATGCAGTGAGGAAGGAAGCACACTAAGGATATAGTGTAAGAGGTTTCAAAGAGAGAGCATTCAGTCTGAGGATCCGTGGAGACGGACAGGATCGCCAATTTGGTTTGAAGTAGAGGTAAGAGGTAGTGGCTGGCTGATTTTGCTTCTCTGATCTTTAGGCTTCATCCCCTAATATCTGCCTCTGGGATTTTATTATTAAGACCCATTAGAACATGCGCTGTCCAAAAAGATCACGTCCTGTCATCTGTGCCATCGTCACTGCATGTGGCAATCTTAGTGTCAGTGAGGTGAGCCAGGCACAGGAGGCTTGGCAAGCAGGAGGAGGTGGCTTGGTCTCAGCACCTTGGTCCAGGTTCTCACTGTCACTGTGCAGAGCTGCATTTCTCCTAGGTTGGCTTTGGGGACTGTGTTATGGGCTCTTCACTCCTAGAGCTGGGTGGGGACAGGCTGAGCAAAGTCTGGAGCAGATAGTGACCTCCTGCCTCAGGACATTTAGACTTGTAAAATTACCACATTTAAGTAAATTGGTGCATGCATTGATTGATTGATTGATTGAATGACTGACTGACTGACTGATTGCTTTACTATGACAGGGTCTCTCTGTGTAGCTATGGATTTCCTGAATCTCTTTGTAGACCAAGCTCACCATGAACCTACAAAGATCCACCTGCCTCTGCCTCCTGAGTGCTGGGATTTAAGTGAGCACCAACACACCCTGCCCAGGTTCATAGATTTTATAGACACATCTACAGAGCCTAGCAGGACATCCTTCCCCTTGTTATTTGACACATCTGTGCAGCAGCCTAAAGGTCACACTGCCAAGTTTCCCAATAAACCATGCACAGAGCTCTGTATGAACTCATGGGAACAGGTAGTGCCTGAGTCCTGGTGAGGGTGGCAGACTGCTGGGGGCCCTTGCAGGGTGAGGGAACTAAAGTTCTTCCTCCTCAGCTGACAGCATGCAGAGACAGACCATGCTGCCCTGGGACTCCCTGTGTGTTAGCTCTCTCTTCTTAGAGGGTTTGTATTTTTATGGTTTCAGGGACTTTGGTTAATTGAGATCTGAAAGAAACAAGGCAAACATTGCAGGGATAAATGGCATACATGTGTTTAATGGTTTCTTTCTGAATAGGGATGAAGCTTCTGTCCCCTGTCTGTCTCCCTGGTGTGAGAACTGTCCTCTGTCCAGGGTCCTCACTGTCCACTGTGCAGGGCTGAGGTCCTCAGGGACCAGTTATAAGCAGTTATCACATCCAGAGTCACTGCCCCACAGCGTTGGTCACTCATCTCCCTCATCTCTCAGCTCACATCACAAGGGTGAGTGCAGGACAGTGGGAGAAGGGACGAATTGAATCACTTCTCTACACTATTCTGCTGTTATCGTTCTGCTTTGTAATTGTTACTCATCTTTTAATGTATTTGATTCATTAACCTTGTCATAGGAGTGTGCACACATAACACAAGCAGATTTCACTGCTCTACTGGATTTAGTCACAGGTTCTCACTGGAAGTCTCTTTCCCAGCAGAGAAGGGGACAACCACATTGAAACAATATGTAGCTATCACGAGTTTATTCATATTCAACTATAGTTTGAACATGAGAGACAGAAAGAGCAAGGGGACCACTTGAGGAGGGGCAGCAGGAGAAGCAGGAAAGGGATAATACTGAAGGTGAAATGACCAAAGTACCCTGATACACACTGTTTGTGTTATTTGTATAGCTGAGCATAGAGGTGCATGCCTCTGATCCCAGAACTGCAGAGGTGGAGGCAGGATGTCATGAGTTCAAAGCCAGCCTCAGGGACATAGTGAGTTTGAAGGCTGCCTGAGATCAGTGGATCCTATCCTAAAACAAACATCTGCCAGCAATGACTATACAGGGTGACTGAGCCTGGAGTTGAATGAGCTGGTATCCTTTGTCATACCCTGCTGTGTAATGGAGAAGATGCTGGAGCCCATGGAGACAGTGTGGACAGAGAATGAGCATCAGCTGCTAATGCAGCTACGAAGACCACACCTGGCCTTGAGAAGCCACAAACCCGCTAGTGTTGGTGGCCTCGCTACTGATGCCCTCTTGACGCTGGTTTGTGTGCTGGGTATTTTGTGCAGCTTCTAGTTTTATCTAAATTCTGGTTTCTACAGGAACTGTTAGAAGACACAGCATCCCAGGAAGGAGGCCATGAGCCTTTGGGTCTGAACCTGGACAGCACCCTGTAGTCTCCACACAGGACAGGATCCCATCACCACTGGAGGACACCTGCTGAGGAAGGCCACTGAGCCCAGACACAGCCCTTTATCAGGAAACAGGGTTAGGCCAGTAAGCGCCTCTGAGTCTGACTCTCTGACTCTGAAATTTCCCAAGTCCCTGATGAAGGTTTATAATTATTAGCATTATACTTTCAGCTCCCATAACACAGGCCATGAGTGGGTTGGAGCCACCGCTGAGTCGTGCTGATCTCTGCACACTCCTGAGTGTTCCTGATCTTCTCTGCACACATCCTGACTAACCTGATTAGCAGTTGGCTTCAGGCAGCACAGAGACACCATGACCAGCACTGCTCCCTTCTGCTGCACAGGGTCAGGCAAAGTCTTAGTCCTCAGGTAAGCTTTGCCTTGTCCCCAGTTTAGTTCTCCAGCTCCTAACTTGTCTCAGGTCCTTCTGCTACTATGGTGATGACAACTGGGCGGTTCTCACCCCCATTGGGTGTTGATATCCCGACATCCCGGAGAACCAACCAGCCTTGCAGCTGGCAACAGTTACGAAGTCCAAGCCAAAGGCTCAGATATGATACGGGGGCGATGGCGCCGCGCATGCTGTTCCTGCTGCTGGCGGCCGCCCTGGCCCCAACCCAGACCGGCGCGGGTGAGTGCGGGTCTGGGAAGGAAAGGGCCTATGAGGGGAGGACGCGGGGATCGACAAAGAGGAAGCAGCACCCGGCCACACCCTCCCGCCCCTTCCCCAGCGGCGTCCCAAGCCCCGCGCCCCGCTCCCCTTCCGCGCACCTGCCCGGGGTCCCCCGAGGAGGGTCGGGTCTCACTGCGCGCGGTCACCAGGCTCGCACTCGCTAAGGAATTTCTACACCATCGAGTCCCGGCCTGGCCTCGGGGAGCCCCGTTTTATTATCGTCGGATACGTGGACGACACGCAGTTAGTGCGCTACGACAGCGACGCGGAGACTCCCAGATATGAGCCGCGGGCGCCTTGGCTGGAGGGGGAAGAGACGGAGTATTGGGAGAGGAACACACGGAAAGCCAAGGACAGCGAGCAGATTTTCCGAGTGAGCCTGAAGACCCTGATCCGCTACTACAACCAGAGCGCCGGCGGTGAGTGACCCCGGGTCGGAGGTCACGACGTTCCAAGTCGCTCCAGGTCCCAAGTCCCAGGTCCGGGAGGAGGAGAGCAGGGGCGGGACCCTGTTTCCCTTTCACTTTAGAGGTCTGGGGTGGGCGGGGCCGCAGGGTGGGGCTAACTTCGGGTGGGCGGGGCTGACCTCGGAGTGTCCCCTCCCTCAGGCTCTCACACCATCCAGCTTATGTGTGGCTGTGATATGGGGTCTGACGGGCGCCTCCTCCGCGGGTACCATCAGTACGCCTACAATGGCGATGATTACATCTCCCTAAACGAGGATTTGATGACGTGGACGGAGGCGGACAAGGCGGCGCAGCTCTCCCAGCGCAAGTTACAGGAGGCTGGTGCTACAGACAGATACAGGGCCTACCTGAAGGGCGAGTGCCTGCAGTGGCTCCGCAGACACCTGGAGAAAGGCAAAGACACGCTGCTGCGCACAGGTGCAGGGCCGCGGGCGACTCCTCCCTCTGCCCTCGGGCTGGGCTCAGTCCTGGGGAAGAAGAGACCCCTCAGCTGGGGCCATGCCCCTGTCTCTGAGGGGAGACAGTGGCCCTGGGGCCCTGATCCAGCATGGCAGGGACTGCACTGATCTCCCAGGGCTCAGCCTTCTCCCTGGACAGTTCCAAATGTGTCTCAGCAGGGAGGGGGAGAAGATGCCCACATCACCAGCAGTGGCTCCTTCAGTCTGCAGCCCGCTGTCAGCCATGGCCTCTCTCAGGCCGGGTTCTCTGTCCACACCGGGTGTCTGAGTGTGTCAGCCTTACACACCAGGACCGGAAGTCTCCTATACCTGATGGAGGACATGGATGCCCCTACCCTAGGCTGGTTCCCCAGTTTCTAGAACTTTCCAAAGAATACATTCTCTCAGATTCCTGTGTGTGAGGGTTGTGTCCTTCCTTCACCCCAATTCTCTCTCTTCCTAGAATGGTCACATGAGCAGTTATGGGGTGCCCTGCGAGAATTCTAAACTGTGAAGTTCTTTCTTTCTTTTTTTTTTTTTTTTTTTGAAGTTGTCATTGTGCTTTTAGTTAGTTTTTCTTCCTCACTATGATGCTATTACTTCTGTCCTTCACATGGGATTATCATCTGTATCAGTCTACACAGGTTTCATGGGGGACTGATGATCAGGATAATCAGACAAATTAAGTCAAAGTTCTCTTTAATCGAGAAAAATTCCGGGGATTTAAACGATTTTCTTCCAGAATTAACCATCCAGAGCACCCTGGTCTCCCTCAGCCCCAACAAGTTACATTGTTGCCCCCAGTGAATTAGGAGGTGAACTTCCTCAGACAGGGTCTAATGCACCTCAAGGACTGCAGTGACAGGGAAAATCCACACACCCCTGTGAGCACAGCTGTGTCCCAGTGAGTGCTGCACTGGGCTCCACAGCACACTTCCAGGGGTCCTGGGTGATGACAGCTTGTGTCTTGTATCCCCCCCAGAGGCAGGATTGGGGAGTCATTTCCTCTGGCTGAGTGTCAGAGGTTCACCTCGTACTTGCTGCACACTATGGGGATGACTGTGCACTTGGACAGACAGTTATGCTGGTCAGCAACATGGACACAGTGGTTTTTTTCTGCCAATGATGGCAGAAGAGGTTAGGGGAAGCCTTTATGTAGCTTGTGACCCCAATTTCTTATTTTGATATGAATTTATTCACACATATAAATTAATTATTTTCCATCCCTTATTCCATTCTTTTACCACATAGCTTATGCTATAAACACCACATCAGGAAAAGCATGTGGACCCACTGGTTCATGTGATTCCCTCTTAGCTTCTGGCTCCCCCAGGAAAATGTGCAGATCAGTGATGAGGGGACCAGCTCCACCTGCAGGTCACCTGTGTGATGACAGAAGTGTTCAGACACATAGTAGTACAGTGTCATCATTGATTTAACATGTCTTTGCAGATTTCAGTTTATCTTGTTGTTGTGGGATTTCTTAAATCTTCCACACAGACCCCCCAAAGACACATGTGACCCGTCATCCTGGACCTAAGGGTGATGTCACCCTGAGGTGCTGGGCCCTGGGCTTCTACCCTGCTGACATCACCCTGACCTGGCTGAGGGAGGAGGAAGAACAGACTCAGGACATGGAACTGGTGGAGACCAGACCTTCTGGGGATGGAACCTTCCAGAAGTGGGCAGCTGTGGTGGTGCCTTCTGGGGAGGAACAGAAGTACACATGCCATGTGCAACATGAGGGGCTGCCTGAGCCCATGACCCTGAGATGGGGTAAGGAGGGAGGGGGTACAGAGCTGGGGTCAGGAACAGATGGAAACTTCTGCAGAGCCTGAGCAGGGTCAGGGCTGAGAGCTGTGGTCATGACCCTCACCTCCCCTTCCTGTCCTTCCCTTCCCAGAGCCTCCTCAGTCCACTGTCCCCATCATGGCAGTCATTGCTGTCCTGGTTCTCCTTGGAGCTCTGACCATCATTGGAGCTGTGGTGGCTGTGGTGAGGAAGAGGAGGAGAAATGCAGGTAGGAAGGGGCAGGGTCTGAGTTCTCTCTCATAGAACTCTGTGCTCTGTCTCATAGAAATACATCCACACCCCCACTGCGCCTGTCTCGTCTGGGTCTGCGTTGGTTCAGGAAAATTCCTAGGGTCAGGCTCCTCCCTGGTCTCTCACAGCTTTTTTCTTCTCACAGGTGGAAAAGGAGGGAACTATGATCCAGCTCCAGGTAAGTGTGGGGAGCACTGTTGTCCCTGAGATCCTTGGCAAGCATCTGGGTTGTTTGCAGAGTTCTGCCATCTATATTAGCTCCTCCAGAAAAATCTTCTAGGGGCTATGGGTTGTTTTTTTTTTTTTTTTTAACCTTCTAACACACACACACACACACATTCATATGACAGGAACAGTTCCCAGAGCTCAGATGTGTCTCTCCCAGACTGTAAAGATGACACTCCAGGACCTAATTGAGGTGGGCATAGTGTCACAATTGGGTTTCAGGGACTCCCAGAATCACCTGTGACCGAATGTTGTGTTGCTGGGATATTGTCTTTACAATGATTGTTCCTGACTCTTGTTCTGTAGCATGAAGACAGCTGTCTGGAATGGACGGAGTGACAGACAATGTGTTCAGGTGTCTCCTGTGACATCCAGGAATCCTCAGTTCACTCAGCAACAGTGTCTGATGTTCCCTGTGATCCTATGGGCTCCATGTAGAGAACTGGGAGCCCAGCCCAGCCCTGCACACCAGGACCCTGTCCCTAAACTGCCTGTGATCCCTTCCATGCCGAACCTTCCAGCACAGAGGAGGGGGCATCTCCATCCTGTCATCCATGCTGCCCTGAGCTGCAGTCTCTGATTTTCTTACTTTAAATAATGATCTCAATCTGAACTTGATTTTTCACATCCTTAATCTGATAGGTTAGGTTGATTGGCTATTAAATAAATTATTGAGATGGTTGGAGTTTGTGGAGGAAATCAATGGCAGCGTGGAGAACCTCCCAGAGTCTGTGTTCATTGTGCTCTGTGCATCTGGAGGGACTGGTGAGGCTGTGGAGCTGAGTGAGAACAGGGCTGTGTCCAGGAGGAGCTCAGTCCATTGCTGGCTGTGACATGGTCTCTCCTCAGCTCTGTCACCTGCTGGCTCTGTTCTCTTCATCCCTTAGAACCACATGCTGAGATCTGTGGTCACAGGGACACAGGGATGACCAGTGCCTTGTCTAGAGCCAGGATTGTGAGCAGCCAGAGCAGCTGGGACAGGCCAGCCTGGGCTCTGACCTGACTGTAGTTCTTTACTCCATATTCGCTATTTATTGCTGACTTTTTGGTTTGTATGGAGGAGTAGGCCTGTTTGTGTTCCTGTGAGTGGAGCCTGCCTCCTTTTCCCTTGTGCTCCCTGAGTGAAAGCATTACAAGGTGTTTTTCCATCCTTTCCCCTCAAGACCTAGCTAGGCCCCTGCATTCAGGAGACTGTGACCTGAGAACATGAACTTCAGTCTCCAGGACTCCTGCCTCATTCCAGGTACCTCTCTGGAGGGTCTATCCTTTTACCATCTTTTGAATCTACCAGAGTTGTAGGATCAGCAGAGAGGAGGGATCCACAGGGTCTCATCTCAGATCTTTTCTGTGGGATCTATGTTCTGCCCAAAGTCGCCCCTCCCTCCCTGGCTCTGGGAATCCTCCTGCCTCCAGTGGTGATTCCAGGAATTGCAGTCTGAGTATACTTTAGATTGATGTTTATTTGAAAAAGACATGATCTATTTTGTCTTGTTGATTGTGTCCTTTGCCTTACAGAAGCTTCTCAGGTTCAAGAGGTCCTATTTATTAATTGTCGATCTCAGTGTCTGTGCTACTGGAGTTTTGTTCAGGAAGCCGTCTCCTGTACCAATTTGTTCAAGGGTACCTCCCACTTTCTCTAAGAGGTTTACTGTGGCTAGATTTATGTTGAGGTCTTTGATCCATTTGGACTTAAGTTTTGTGCATGGCAATAGATAAGGATCATCTACAATCTTCTCCATGTCAGCATCTAGTTATGCCAGCACAATTTGTTGAAGATGCTTTCTTTTTTCTACTGTATAAGTTTACCTTCTTTGTCAAAAAAAAAATCAGGTGTTTGTAGGTGTGTGGCTTAACAGGGTTTCAATTCAATTCCATTGGTCTACCAGTCTGTTTTTGTGCCAATACCAAGCTGTGTTCATACTATAGCTCTGTAGCACAGCTTGAAGTCAGGAATGGTGATGCCTCTGGAAGTTCCTTTATTTTACAGGGTTGTTTTGGCTATCTTAGGTTTTTTGTTTTTTCATTTAAAGTTGAGTTTTGTTCTTTCAAGGTCTGTGAAGCTAGACAAACAGCAGACCACAGAATGGGAAAAGATCTTCACCAACCCCACATCTGACAGAGGGCTGACTTCCAAAATATACAAAGAACTCAAGAAGCTAGTCACCAAAATACCAAATAATCCCATTAAAAAGTGGAGTATAGAACTAAATAAAAATTCTCAATAGAGGAATCTAAAATGGCTGAAAGACACTTAAGAAATTGTTCAACACCCTTAGCCATCAGGGAAATGCAAATCAAAACAATTCTGACACACCATCTTACACCAATCAAAACACCAATGACTGTTTATGCTAAAGAGGATGTGGAGAAAGGGGAACACTCCTTCATTGCTAGTGGGAATGCAAACTTGTAACTTTGGAAATCAGTATAGCTGTTTCTCAGGAAAAAGAGAATCAGTCTACCTCAAGATCCAGCAATTCCACTCTTGGGCATATACCCAAAGGATGCACATTCATACAACAAGAACATCTGTTCAACTATGTTCATAGCAGCATTTTTGTAATTGCCAGAACCTGGAAGCAACCTAGATGCCCCTTGACCAAGGAATTGATGGTACATTTCCACAATGGAGTACTACTCAGCAAAAAAAAAAAAAAAGAAAAAAGAAAAGAAAAATGGACAGCATATGGATGGGACTGGAAGAAACCATCCTGTGTGAGGTAACCCAGTCACAGAAAGACAAGCATGGTATGTACTCATTCTTATATGGATATTAGACATAGATAAAAGGACTACCAGCCTACAACCCACACCTCTAGAGAAGCTGGGAAACAAGAAGCACCCTAAGAGAAGGGGAAAGGGACAAGAGCTCCTGAGCAAATTGGGAACATGGGGGTGGGGGATATAGAAAGCAGAGAAGGGGAGATGAGGAGATGGGAGGAGGACATGATGGATCAGGAAGACTGAGTCGGGGGAAGAATAGAGGAGAGCAAGAAAAGAGATTCCTTAATAGAGGGAGCCATTATAGGTTTAAAGAGAAATCTGGCACTAGGGAAATCTCCAGACATCCACAAGGATGACCCCAACTAAGAATCTAAGCATTAGTGGAGAGGCTACCTTAAATGTTCTTCCCCTATAATGAGATTGATGACTACCTTAAATGCCGTCCTAGAGCCTTCATCCAGTAGCTTCTGGAAGCAGAAGCAGACACCCACAGCTAAGCACCGAGCCAAACTCCTGGAATCCATTTGTAGAGAGGTAGGAGGGATGAGCAAAGGAGTACGAGACCATGCTGGAAAAACCCACAGAAACAGCTGGCCTGACCAAGTGAGCACATACAGACCTCAGTTGTAAAGCATTGGACCAATCAAGACCTCTGAATGTGAGTTACAATTAGGAGGCCTGGGCAGTCTACGGGACCTGTGACAGTGGAACCAGTATTTATCCCTAGTGCACAAATGGACTTTGATAGCACATTCCTCATGGAGGGATACTCTCTCAGCCCAGATACATGGAGGAGGGCCTAGGCCCTCCCCCAAATGATTTAACAGACTTTGATGATCCCCCATGGAAGGCCTATCCTCCCTGAGGAGTGGGTTGGGGGTGGGATGGGGGGTCAGTGGGAAGCATGGGAATATGGGAGGGAGAGGGAACTGGGATTGACATGCAAAATAATATTGTTTCTAAATTAAATAAATAATTAAAAAACAAAAAGACAAGATCCAGGGACTGAACAGATGGTTCAGGGTTTCAGAGCAGTGGCTGTTCTTGTAGAGGAACCATGTTCAGAAACCAGCACGGACACAATGGTTCACAACCACCCATAAGTCCTGCTCCATAGCATCAAATGCCTCTGTAGACACCAAATAGACACATGGTGCATACAGGCAAGAAAACATTCATAGATATAAAATTAACAAATCTTTAGAAAAATAAATTGTGGGAACACCAGAGATGAAATTTTTCTTCATCCCCTGCTCTAGGTTCTGGCCCCTGTGGTTTCTCTTATAGCTTTGTGACTTTGAATCAGGAGCTCCAGGAGACTTAGCAGAGATGTCTGATGACCAAGGAAGTGACAGTCTCTGTCATGATGCAGCCATCTTTGTCTAGGAGGGATGATGACTTCCCATGCCAGGGGCTCTGCAAACATTTGTACCCAATGAATGTTTGATAAATGAACTTAAAAAATAGGATCATGGATCACAGACAGAAAGACAGGTGAGGAGAGGGAGGGAGGGTTTTGCTGATTGTGAGGGGACCTGGTGCTGCACTGGACACACCAGCACTTGGTTGTATTAATAAAGGGAGCTTCTGTTGAAGAGGGAGGTGATGGTGTGAATTCCTCTAGACTGAAGGAACATCCCTGCTGGAGCCAGGAGGAGGCTGGTGAGGTTCATGAAACACAAGAAGCTACAGGTTCATGGAGCTGACACAATGTAGCACTTTCCTCTCTGTTAAACCAGCTGTGGTTCCTAAGGGAGAGCAGACCACAGAGTGGAGCTGCTGGGCGCTGTGCACTGGACTGCAGTGTTGCAGCTGTGTGGGTGGCATGCACACTGGGATGGGATGTCAGTTGTTAACCCCTACTCACCCAGGATCTTGTGAATAACCAGTGAGCTCACAAGGTTCACTGAGCCAACTGTGGGTGGATGTTTTCTTTGTTCTGCTGCTCAGAGTTGCAGATTACAATGGCCACTGATACCACAGGCCAGTGAAAATATACAGCAGATGACAACTAGTATTCAACAGGCTGACCCATCAGAGACATAATACTCTGATGGGGATTGCCACTTGTCAGGGACTGTGGGGACACTAGCTGTAGATTGTCTGTAGTTTTTTCTCATGTGACAGTTATGGTTGTTTTCCCCACTGCTTGTGTGTTTATCATACACACACACACACACACACACACACGTATATCCCATCAACTGGGCACACATATAGCTGTCAGTG